ATTAATTTCTTTCTATTTTTAGTAGAGACGGGGTCTCGCTCTTGCTCAGGCTGGTTTCGAACTCCTGAGCTCAAACGATCCTCCTGCCTCGGCCTCCCAGAGAGCTAGGATTACAGGTGTGAGCCACCGCGTCCGGCCCATCCTTAACTTTCTTGACCTTTCTGTGGCAGTCGCATTTGACATTCGTATCAGTTTCCCAGGTCATTCACAACAAAGTGAGCAGCTTAAAACAACGGAAATTCATTCTCTCACAGTTTGGGAGGCTAGAAGTCTGAAATCAAGTTGTGGGCCCGGTTAATCCTTCTGGAGTCTCAGAAAGATCTGTCCCGTGCCTCTCTCCTCGCTGGTGTTGCTTGCTGGCGTCCTGTGCTGTTCGGCAGCTTGTGGAGGCAGCGTGGCAGTCTCTGCCGCTGTCGTCAGGTGGTGTCCCCGGGGTGCCTTCACGTCACCTTCTGTGTGTGTGTGTCTCTGCGTGTGTATTTCCCTGTCTTATGAGGACAACTGTCCTTGGATTAGGGCCAACCCTGAACCAGTAAGCCTCATTTTAACTTGCTCACTTCTGCAAATACCCTATTTCCAAACAAAGCCACGTCTGCACGTACTGGAGATTAGGACTTAAACATACTTTTTTTCATGGCTGGCGTAATTCTGCTCACAAGAGTCTGCCCTCTGGTTCCTCAAATTCTTATACTTCTCCTGTGCAAAGTGTATTCACCCCATCCCAGCACCCTCCAAAGTCTTAACCCGTTCTCCACCATCAACTTAAAGTTCAAAATCTTATTTAAAATCAGCTGAAAAATCTCCAAGTCTCATCATCTAAATCAGGCATGTGGGTATAGACCATCCTTGGGCAAAATTCCTCTTTATTCGTAGGGCTTTGAAACTAGAAAACAAGTTATCTTTTTCTAAAATACAATGGCGGGACAGGACTAAGATAGACATTCCTATTCCAAAAAGCGGATGGTGGAAGGAATAAAGGGATCAGTGGTCTAAAGCAAGTTTGCGACTCAGCAGGGAAAAATTTATTAGATTTTAGGGCCTGAGAATTATCATCTATGGCTTGATGCTCTGTCCTCTGGTTCTGCGGAGGCCCCGCCCTAGTCTCAGTTGCATAACAGATAAATTACTCACATGTTCACAGAGAGAAGAAAGAATTTAAAGATAGTTACCTCATTGATATCAGTGGTTACTGTTGGGTTTAGGATTGTTCATGATTTTAATTTTTTATTTGTACACATCTCTGTATTTCTA